CCCCAAAACCCCAAAACCCCAAAACCCCAAAACCCCATAGCTAAAATTTAATGATCTTTAATAAAATATTTCAAATCAAAATAAAAATTCAAATAGGTTCATCAAAAAAGCTTTGTTCTTTTATTTTTCATAAAAGAATTCAGCTAGAATTTTACATCATCTTTAGAAAATAAATTTCTAATTGCCTAAATACTTCTAAGTAAATTTTAGATTGTTAATCAGACTCTAGACAGATTTAGGCTTGGTATTATTATTATCTAATTTTCTTTATTTCAACTGGTTCTATATTTAGATGTCCTAATTTTTATCCTGCTACTTCATGAGGCTATCTTTAATATTTTACTTTTAGTTTCTTACTCCTCCTTAAAAGTTTAATAGAGATTAGGGACTGACTGATCTATCATCTAATTGAAGAGTATCTATAGCCTTCTAACCAATATTTGGATTCAAATCAAATTTAGTTTTGTCCAAAGAATTGATCTCATATTTAAGGTCAATATACTCTTGTACATTATTCTACTCATTAATTTTAATGGGATTCTCTATAGATGGTTCATTTTTCAAATTATTATCTAGACATTGAGACCCTTATGTATTTTGTTCATTGATTGACTTTGATCTAGTTTGTTCTTTTGATGCCATACCATATTTGTTAAGACCTGTATAAATTGATGAATATGCTTAAACCATAAAAGACTTCTAGGTCAAATACATTTCTTAAGTTGTTTTTTATTTCAGTGATTTGCTTTACTATTCTATCAGGGATTATGTATTTATATTAACATGATTGTTTTAACTGCTAGTTCTCAGAAATAAATTATCACTAAGAGTATCATTAGATATAGCTGGAATGATTTGCATCGTCTCAATCGATTGCCATTTACTCTCTTTACTCATATTTTAGTCAGTTCTTGCTTATGTTAAAAACCTCTTCATTGTAATTACTTCTTTTTATTTCATTTTTCTCTTTTTCTCTTGTGTCGACATTATTCTCTAAATTAGCATATTAGTCACCTCCTCGCTTTCGAGATTAGACCTTTAAAGAGTTCTCGATGCTTCTTTTGAACTATCCAAGGCTATGCTTTATTCATTTGCAGGTAAAACAAGATTCAAGAAGTATTATTAATTTCCGTCATTCACTACTGATGGCCCTGCTGTATACGTCCTGTTTTAATTAATATTTCTGCTTTTGGCTTAAATATGTTCTTAGTATTTGCTCTAATAAATAGTATTATTGTTAGACTGATCATTATCTGAGGAATATTAAGACATAATGCGATTGTGAAATTTACTCTCCATACTCAGATTTCCATTTTGCCTTTTATCAATTTTTTTCTATTCCAATTTGATTTGCTAAGTTTGAAGATATTTCTATGTTTACTTCGAGATTACTTCATCTTATTCAACATTGAGAAACGGAGATTTTTAGTTGTAATATTTTTGCTTATAAAGGACAAGCTTTTGTTTATTAAGAAAACTCTTCAATGACTACTAGACCCTTTCTTTGCTCAATGTAGTGGGAATTTTAGTAAATTATTTTTAGCTCGCATTTTCTTAGGTGTCTATTATAGATTTATTTGGTGATTTGGATTTATGAATTTCTATCATACTTCTAAAACTATTCTAAGAAACAATACTGTTTCTCTCAAAAATTCTCTCTTTTCTTTTTTTATTTGCTAATTCTAGTTTTAAAGTGACATCTAACAGGGCATTTTCAATCTTTTTATCGGAGTCATTATCTATCAAAAGGTAATCCTTAAGTAATTTGTAAACCTAAGAATTTTATCTACTATTGCCTCGAGTCAATTAATTTTTTATAGATACGCTTTGCTCACCGATGCCATTATTAGATGTATAATTTAACCTTTCTCTTTATTACTGAGAAATTCTAGATCTAAAAAATGACATACCTCTAGTATTATTATCACATTTCTATGTTTGGGACGTTTATGATTATTCCTAAAAATAAGCCTAGGTTTTCCTTCTCTACAAGATGCTATTGAGAGGCTAAGCAACATAAGGCTGGTATTAAAATTATTCGTTATTTGGGCTATACTTTGAGGTTTCGATCCTATTGATTGGGTAATTATTCCGAGAATCAGTCGTATAACCACCAGAGTTTTGCTTCTTGTATAGGAGACTAAGTTAAATCAGTTTTTCTCTAGGAAGAAGCTACTTAATAGTTGAATTTTATTACTCCAATAAGATGTCATGTGGTGATACATTTTTTATGAGTCTATCAGCAACTATAGAGTTAGACTTTTATATCCCTCTTTATGCAGCATAATCTCTGCTGCTGAGTTATTAATGTCCTTGCATAATTATATTTTTATATAATTATCTTAATTCTTATGACTTGCTTTTATAAATTTTATGGCTACCTCGAATATAATGGAAGAATAAGGGAAATCTTAAAAGTAAAAATAACAA